AGTTCAAACGCAGCGGCGGGCGGCGCGGAGAAGTGGCGGCCGGGCTACCGAGGTGAGTCTGGCGCTGCCGTGCCCTTAGCCTCCGGTCTCCCCGCCCGGCCCCGCCCATACCATGCCCATGACCCACCTGCAGCTGGGAGACTCGCGGGGGCCGCGGAGGGTCTGACCCGGCTGCGGTCCACGGGAGCCCGGGGGCAGCGGGTGGAGCTGGGGCAGGAGGATGAGTCCTGCGCAGCCGCGCACTGCCTCCTGGCAGCGGTACCTGAGCTTCCCCGCAGGGGCTCCGGTTCTCACTGCGTCTTTACCTAACCTCTCTATTCCTGTGTTTGCAAGGTCTTCCACGCCCACCCCAGCCCCTCCTACTCCTTCCCTCCCTCTGTTCTACCTTCCAAGGACATTGCATTTCCCCCTATGTGTGTACAGGCTTGCTGGCCACCCCCTTCAGGTCTTAGTTCACACATTTTAGACAGTTTCTTTTAAACAATTATTTTTTTGTGTATGTTTTGCCTGCATGTATGTGCACCACGTGGGTGTCTGGTGCCCTCCGACGTCAGATCCCCTACAACTGGAGTTACAGAGGTTTGTTCTGCTGTGGTGTGGGTGCTTGGAACCGAACTCTCGTCCTCTGGATCAGTAGAAAGGGCTGTGAACCGCTGAGCCCTCCTGCCCCAAGAAACAAGTTTCTAATAGCCCACCCAACTGGCCTTCAGTTTGCTGTGTAGCACAGGATGGCCTTGGACTCAGGATAGATAGAGACCATGGCATCTAGTTTATGTGGCGCTGGAGATGGAACCCAGGCCTTTCTGCATGCTAGACAAGCGTTTTGCTGACTGAGCCAAGACCCTAGCAACACCGTACCTTCTCAGTGAAGTTTACCCCATCACTGCACAGACCCCTCTGCCTTACCCTGATTGCTCTTACCTTCATCAGGTCTTAAAAAACACCACACACCTGGCACCGAACTGTGTAGTTTATTTCATGCATTTGCTTACTAATTGACAATTACTCTGTAAGGGTATCTGTTTCTATCGTTGAGGTGAGGGTGGCTACATCGTGCAGATTTATAGCAGAGAATGTCAGAAAGCTCAGCACCTGGGTCTGGGGAGATGGCTCAGCAGAAAAGAGCACTTGCTACACAAACATGATCCACCTGTGGCCATGCATACTTGTAATCTCAGTGCTGTGGGGGTTGAGACAGGCTCATGGGCTTGCTGGCTGCAAGGCTAGATCCAGGTTCAGTGAGAGACCTTGTTTCAAAGAAATAGGTGGATCATGGTAGAGCAAGACAGCTGACATCCTTCTCTGACCTCAGCATGGGTATGGGGCATTCACCCCACCTGTTATCACCTGTCCTGCTTTTTCTTTTTTGGCACCTGGGGGCCTCAGACATGCTAAGCAAGCATTCTACCAGTGAGGATACTGTTTCCCCAGACCTTGATTACTTTTAATATTTTGTTTTTAATTTTTTGAGGCAAGGTCTCATTATGTAGCTTGGCTGGTCTGGAACTCTCTATATAGACCAGGCTGGCCTTGAATAGCCAGAGATTCCCTTGCCTCTGCCTTCCAAGTGCTGGGATTAAAGGCCTGTGCAACCACGTCAGGCTTTACATTTTATTTTGATATAGGTTCTCACCAAGTTGCCCAGGCAGGCCTTGAATTTTCCATCCTCTTGCCTCTGCCTCCTAAGTAGCTTGGATTACATGCCTGTTCCACCAGGCCTGGATCACTTCTTGTTACAGGGAGTAAAATCTGACTTTTCATCTCCCTGGCTAGACTGAACTTCCGAAAACCGAAATGGTGGCTCATTCTCAGCTCCTGGTCCTGATGTCCTGAGGGAGATCAGAATCTGTTAGGCACTTTCTGTTCCAATGTCAGTCCACACTTACCCTCTCCCAATGTCCTTCAGCACCAGGGGAGAGATGTTGAAGTTCAAGTATGGAGCACGGAACCCACTGGATGGCAGTGCCCCTGAACCCATTGCGAGTCGGGCCTCCAGGCTTAATCTCTTCTTCCAGGTAAGAAGCTTCCTGTCAGTCATGAGACCTGCATTTATTATCATAACCAGCTTGGGTTTTATTATAGGCTGAGACTAATATTCTTGGAGAAATCCCACTTGATGCTTTCATGTGCTGATTGTATTGGAGGAAGTGGTCACTGTGCACATGGTTGGACAGCTCAACTTGGGCTATTCTATCAATTCTCACACTTTACACTTATAAACATTGTTCTTTTTTTCTTTTTTAATTGTTTTTTATTATTTTATGTGTATGAGTGTATTGCCTGCATGTATGTGAGTGCACCCGTGTCGTGCAATGTTGTGGAGGTCAGAAGAGGGCTTCAGAGTCCCCTGGAACTGGAGTTAAGGACAGCTCATAGCTGACTATGGGTACTGGGAATCGAAACCCTGTCCTCTACAAGAGCAGTCTGTGCTCCAGCCCCAACATTGTCCTTTTATTAAAGAAAATCGGCAAAGGTACTTTTTAAACCCAAGATTTATGTAGATGTAATTTAAAAATTTGTGCCGGGCATGGTGACCCACGCCTTTAATCCCAGCACTGGGGAAGCAGAGGCAGGCAGATCTCTGTGAGTTCAAGGCCAGCCAGGTCTACATAGTTCCAGGACAGCTGGGGCTAAAGGGAGACCCTGCCTCAAAAAGACCAGAAAAAAAAAAAAATTATTTGTATGTGTGTGTATGTCTTTCTTGCCCACAGAGGCCAGAAACAGGGCTTCGGATTCCTTGTAGCTGGAGTCATAGGTGTTTGTGAGCTACCTGGTGTGGGTGCTGGGATCCAAACTCTGGTCCTTGTTAGAAAAGTACTCTTTTTTTCCCTTTTAAAAAAAAAAATTGAATTTTTTGAATTTCATACAGTATATTTTAATAATTTTTAGATTTCCCCTCCCATGTCTGTACCCCCTTACTAACCCCCACCAGATATCCTGTACTCATATATAAATATGTTTCCTGTACTAGAGTGTGTGTGTGTGTATGTATGTGTGTATATGCCTATTTCATGTACTCTATTTTATATGTATACACATGCATCTATCTATATATCATCTATTTATCATCTATCTTCTATCTAAAGGCCTATACAGTCAAATTTGTGTTCCCAAATGGAACACAAATTTGTGTGGATCCTTCTGTGTGGATCCATCCATTGGAGCCGGGTTAACCTATCAAGAGTCTCACCTTAAATGAGACTGACTCGTCCCCTCCCAGCAGCCATTGGTTGCCAGTAGTTCTTCAGGTAGGGTTGGAGTTTCCTACCCACTTCCAACGACTATGCTGGGATTTTGTCTGGCATGAGCTTATGGGACTTGTGCATGCTGTCATCATTGTTGCAAATTCATATGAGTAACTTCCCAGCTGTCTGGAAAACTCTGTTTCTTTGTGGTCATCCACATCCTCTGGCTCTTACAGTCTTTCCTCCTCTTCCACAATGATCCCTGAGCCTTGGGAGGCAGAATTTTGATATAGGAGTCCTATCCTATTGAGGGATAAGCACCCTGTAATTTCTTATTCATGTAGAAAACAAATCAGAAGGAAAACCTATTACCTTCTGGCCTTTTCATTTCTTATAGAAAGGGGCTGGAGAGATGGCTCAGTGGTTAAGAGCACTGGCTGCTCTTGCAGAGGACCCAGGTTCTGTTCCTAGCACCTACATGGTGGCGCACAACTGCGGAGGTCAGAAGAGGGCTTCAGATTCCCCTGGAACTGGAGTTAAGGACAGTTCATAACTGCCATGTAGGTGCTGGGAATCGAACCCTGGTCCTCTGCAAGAGCAGTCAGTGTTCTTAACTGTGGAGCCATCTCTCCAGCCTCTAAAGGACTGTTTTAAAATTTGAGTCCCTTCAGCTTTGCGAGAGAGATGCCATAAGGTGCTCACTCTTTCTTGGCTCACCAGGAGCTGCAGAAAACTTTTTTTTAAAGTTCACCACCAGTTTGGGAATCTAAGTGTGACTCCAGTTGATGTCACAGGGTGGAGTAAACCACCTGGTCTACTTGGGTTAAACTACAAACAGAAGAAACAAGAATCTTTTCTGAATTAGTGGTAATGGCTACTGAGGTGACAGGGCGGCTCAGTGGCCCAGAGCTTCCCAAACCTGACTCCAAGTCTCCCAGCAAACTTGTTAAAATGAATTCTAAGCTTCAGTCTAGAAAATCTTAATTCAGGTGGTTTGTAATAGGACCAAAGACTCTCCTCCCCCACCCCTAGGTAGTTTCTTGGATTCTCTAGTGATTCAAATTCAGCTGCTCCTTTTATGTTGGCCAGTATTGTGCAGTGAGCCACTCACAAAGTTTAAAGGTATAGTGACATTTTTTTCTTAAGATTCTGCAGGTTGGTTGGACTTGAGTGGGTAGCTCTTCTCCTCCACCCTGTGACATCAGCTGGAGTCACACTAAGAGCAGGACTGCTGATTGGAGGCTCCTGTCCTTTTGAAACTTATTGGCTAATTATTATGAGAGAGAGGGAGAGAAGGAGGCGGGGGGGGGGGGCAAACCAGCCAGCGAGTGGATTGTATACGCCATGGCATGTGTATGGAGATCAGAGGACAGTTTTCAGGAGTCCGTTCTCTTCTGCTTTACTTTGAGGCAGGGCTCTCTGATAGTTTTCATCACTCCATTGTCTACCTGGAGCTCTCAAATTTTTATTTTTTTTTGTAAATAATAAAATCTTTTCCAATTTGTGGGTCATATAGCCTCTGGGAGCTATTCATCTTTGCCATTGTAGCACAGAATTTGCCACGGATAGTATGTAAATGAACGGCAATGGCTGTGTTCCTATAAAACCCTGTTCATAAAAATACACATGGAGCTGGAGAGATGGCTCAGCAGTTGAGAGCACTGGCTGCTCTTGCAGAGGACTGGGGCTCAACTTCCCAACATCCACATGGTGGCTAACAACCGTTTGTAAGTACAGTTCCAGGGGATCTGATATCCTCTTCTGACCTCTACGGGCATTGCACGACATGGGTGCACCTACCTACATGTAGGTAATACACTCATACACCATACACATCATGGTTCATAGGCTATAGTTTGCCTAAACTATATATATATATATATAGTTTGCCTAAACTATAGTTTGCTAAACCCTAATGTGGTCTAAATGTCTGTACATGGCAGCTGGCCTCCACCCAAAGCCAAAGCTGCCAGATTTCTTAAGGGTTGTATCCTGAAGTAGTGTCATGTGGGTCACTTTCTGTTGGTTAAGGTGAGTCTCAGAGATGGCAACTATGTAGGTAGATGGAAGGAATTGGAGGGAGATATGGCATGTGCCTATAGCTGGTAGACTAGGAGGTGCTGTTGTCTGCTATACTTGTTTTATCCCCCATTGAGAAAGAGTCTGCCATTCATCTGCTCTTGAACTCATCCTTCCACCTCAGCCCACCATGTGCTAGTATTATAGGCATGTGGCACTGAGCCTCATTGGATTGGATGTGTGTGTGTGTGTGTGTATATGTACATGTACGTGTACGTGTTTTGTGTGTTGTATGTACTTGTTAGTGTGTGTATGTACATTTGTGCGCATGTGTGGGAGCCAGAGGTAGACATTAGGTGTCTTTCCTCTATTGCTCGCTGTCTCTGTGTTTTGAGAGAGGGTCTCACTGAATCTGAAGCTCATCAATTCAGCTAGCTTGGCAGGCTAATGAGTGTCAGGAACTGCCTGTCTTTGGCCCCCTGCCCCTCAGAGATAGGGTTACAGGTATATGCCACCATGCCCAGCTTTTTTATGTGGGTTAGTGATTTGAATTCAGATCCTCCTGTTTGCATGGTGGGTGACTAAGCCATCTCACTAACCCCTGAAGTATTAAAAATTCTCCTTTCCCTGCCTCTCCTTTAGCTGATTTTGCAGAGCGATTGCCCCACAATCCATGGCCTCTCATGTGGGAATCACTGATCCAGATCAGGGGCTGCCAACTTGTGTCTTGAGAGGCCAGACAGTGAGGATAAATGAATCAAGTAGGCCAGACAGAAGGCTGGAAATCAAGTCTGTAGTGAACTTCAGCACTTGGCAGCATCACTCAGCTCCAGCTGTGTCACTGAGCAGGAGCAGGAGGCAATATTGTCAGATCTTGGGGCCGGGGGAGGCTGGGGGAGGAAGGAGGGAGAGAGGAGAGGGGAGAGAAAGAAAGGGAGGGGGAGAGAGAGAGATACTGATTTTTAAATATTGGCAGATAATTCAAATTATTTTAAATACTTCAAGCCAAACAAAACATGTTTGTGGGCTCGGCACTGTCTGCCAGTCATCAGAATACTCCAGATCATGAATCAGTTTGGCTTTTGATAGTTACTGCAATCATATTACTTCAGAGGAATTAAAGAGACTGAAATTTTCTTATCCCCTGGCCACACAGGGAGGAAGTGACCATCAGTTTCCTATTGCAGAGACATGGAATCATGTCATGACTTGCAGGGTCCACAGTCAATGTTCACATAGATGTCAAAACATTAAGAATGAAGGGCCTTTTCACATTATGGCCTACTTGGAATGGTTTTCTTCTCAGGTGTGAGAGAAAGAGACCCACGGCAGTGGAACTCTGCTAACAATCACTTAATGACCATCCACTGTTGTGCTTTGAGGAATGAAGCCCCAGAATTGTTGCTTGTGTGTCGTGAGCAGTTAGTTGAATCAGTGCTTGTAATTTACCTCTGTGGATGCTATTGGTCAAAGCTTTTCATTACTGACATGTCTCCATCTTCTGTTTGTTGCTTTTAGGGGAAACCACCCTCTATGACTCAACAGCAGATGTCTGCTCTTTCCCGAGAAGGGATATTAGATGCCCTCTTTGTTCTCTTTGAAGAATGCAGTCAGCCTGCTCTGATGAAGGTGAAGCACGTGAGCAACTTTGTCCGGAAGTGTAAGTCTGGGGAAGCTTGTTCTCCAAAACTGCTCTGATGGAGCAAGCTGGGCTGCTGGAGGCAGAAGGTGGTAGTGGTTGGTGAGAGTGACTCTGAGTAGGGCTGGCCAGGGACACATATAGGTTGTTCCCACTGTAGTTGGGAGATCAAATTTAAGTCAGATTTTTCAGTCGCAAGTAACAGAAATTCAGTTAAAAAAGTGAATATGCTGACTCATGAAACAGAAATCCAAGGATGAGGCAAGTTTCAGGCATGGCTGGTTCCAGGGACTTAGTTAATGGTGATGTCCTTTGGTTCCATTCTTTCATTTACTTTGAGCTAGCCTGCTATTTAAACGTAGCAGGCGCAGTGCTTAGATGCCACAGTGTTTCAGTTCAATGAAATAATTTGTCTCATTTAATTTTAAAATCATGGGAATAAATGAATACAGCAATGATTCTGAATCTGGTGGCTCCTCCTCCTTCTCCCCCTCCTTCCTCCCTCCCTTTCCCCCCCTCCCCACTCCTGTATGCTAAGCAACGTTCTTCCAATGAGCTATGCCCCTAGCCTTCCGGATTGTTTATACCACTGAAGTCATAAAGTGTAATTAAAAACTTTTTTAAATGGAGAAGCAACTGATGAAAGGCAAAATGACCCAGGGCCTATAAATGTCATAGATCAGCTGACCTTGATCCTCTTCCTGACTTGCTTGACTTCCACAAGGTGGCATAGCTGGCTGCTGGTGCTGAGTTTCATATTCTTGGATTTCACACTAGTATTTTCAGTCACTTGTCATTCTACCCTCCAGGGTCTCTTGGAGCAATACCTAGAAACCTTTTGGTTGTCACAGCCACGGGGCAAAGAAGGGGGCTACTGGCATTTAATGGTGAGCCAGAGGTGCTCAGGACAGTCTTCCATTGTGCAGAGCTATCTGCCCACCAGGACAGTAATGCCAGATTTGAGAAACTGCCTTATGCAAGATGGCCATCTAACCAGCCATTCTGAATGTTAGCAGCTCACCATGATAGTTATTGTATTGCCTCTCATGAGACTGTGGGCTGATTGCTCTCAGCTGGGAATTCCTCTGCCCCATGAGACATTGGCTTAAATTGCAGTTGTCTTGGGCTTTCCTGGGCTGGATGTTCTAGATGGCTTGCTCAGCATCTGGAGCCTGACTGGAAGGCTGTAGTCAGATGGGATTTTGGGATGGAAAGGGTTTTTGTTGGTCTCACTTTCTTATCCTGTGGAGATGTAGGTCCTTTTGCTCTCTGTATGGTTCCTCTGTGGCCTACATCAAGGGGTCAGGAAACTGTAGACTTTGATGTCTGTGTAAAAACAAAGATTTGCTAGAACACAGCCATATCCACGTGTTTGCGTATTGACTATAACTGCCATAGCACCACATCAGTGCTCACATAGTCGGGACAGAGATCATGTGACCCAGAAAGCGTATTTCCCACATGGCCTTTTAAGAAAAGACTGCAGACCCCTGACCTATGTGGTCTCTTCTGGGTAGCCAGACATTCCCCCATCACAGCTCCGGGTTTCTAAGAGCAAAGTCGTAGAGCTGCTGGGCTTCTTGAAGTGATTTTTGTTTATAAACCTAAAAAGGACATGAGACTTCTGGCTGCTATGTTAGTCAGTTTCCATTATTGTAACAAAATACTAGAGATAACTGCAAAAGTGCACAATAGGAGACGTTCATGTTGACTTGTACTTTTGAAGGTTTTAGTCCATGGTTGGTTGGTCTTATTGCTTGTGGGCCTGTGGCCAGGCAACACATCATGGCAAGAGTGTGTGGTAGGGGAAGCCTGTTTATCTCATGGCCAGGAGTGGAAAGGAAAGATGGAGAGGAATAGTATATCGCTTTCAAGGGCATGTCTTCAGTGACTGGAAGCCGATCTATTGGGCCCCACTTCTTGCTGCCCATGTGGTTCCTCTGTGGGTATTCATACATCAGGAGTTGGGGAGGTACAGCCTGGGAGCGTCCATGGAACTTCTTTGGTGGGAGGTTCATCATCTCTCAGTAGTACCATTCTGGGTGCTAACCCTGCACAGTGGCCCTTGAGGGACTTTCCAGATGCAAACTAAAGCAGCTGCCTTCTGTTTGAAACCAATCATAGGACCACCCACACCTGTGTGTGAAGAAACTGTGCAAAGACGTGAATTCCAAGTGTCATGGTTCATTAGACACAGTTTTAGAGACTGGCTACCACCCCCCTGCCCAGTTAGACTAGTTAGCCTGCTTAGTTTTCTCCCAGAGAAGATTGTGATTGGTTCTGCTTTGGTCATTTGTCTCCCAGGAGGACATTATGATGAGCCTTATCTGAGTTTCCAAAGGGGTCAGAGCACTGTGATTACCAGGACCTCATGGAATGGAACTGTGCAGCTAGTTACCCAAAGGACCTGGGGGTGCTGAGTAAACAAAATTGGTGTCTGTCCACTTTTGTCAAGTGACAGAATACCCAAGAGAAACAACTTCAGGGAAGAAGGATTTGTTTTGACTCATGGTCTGAGGGAGTACAATTCATCATGGTGGTGGAAGCAGCTCATGGCTGTGGTGGTGGGAGCATGTGGCAGCCCCATGTAACAGAGTGTGGACCCAGAAACAAAGAAGTCTGCCAGGAAGAGGAGCAGACTATAAACCTCAAGGCCCACCCTCCTGCGACCCACATCCTATCTCCTATCTCCTAAAGGTTCTAGAACCTTCCCCAGTAGTGTTACCAGTTGGGGATCAAGTGTTTAAACATATGACCCTGTGGAGGACTTGTCACATCCAAACATTAACATCGAGCTTCACTGTTTTTCCAGTACCTTGTGTGTTCAGTTTCCTTAGTGGTGAAAAGAAGCACACATGTATCTAAAACTGCTGTAAATGGGTTTGTGTGCATATCAGGTGTGATGGTTAACCTCGATTGTCGACTTGATGAGATCTAGAATCACCAAGCGTCTGGGTATGGGATTATCTTGATTAGGTTAATTGAAGTGGGAAGACTTGCCCACTATGGGTGGCACCTTTCCCTGGGACTTGGACTGTATGAAAAGGATAAAGTGAGCTGAACACAAGCATTTATTATACTTTGCTTCTTTTTCTTTCCTTTTCTTTCTGATGGGGTTTCTCTATAGCCCCCACTGGCCTAGAACTCACTATGTACACCTTCTGGGTTGTGATTGCAGCATGACCAGCTGCCCCAGCCACCTGTTGCTTTGACTTCCCTGCCATGATAGACTGGATCCTGCAATTCTAAGCCAAAACAGACCCTTCCTTCCTTGGTTGCTTTTGTCAGGGTACTCCAGCACAGGGATAGAATAACTAAAACACCAGGCTTGTCGTGTTCTGTGGCCCCTGGTAGACAAATGCTAACCACAGATATCAACAGTGGTTAATACATTGTCATCTTTAACCTGTCCTTGAAGTGTTTGCTCATCATTCTGCATTTGTTTCCTCCTCCTGTGACTTAGGCAGGGAGTGGAAGGGGAGGGAACTTGGAGGACTAGATGAGTTTACTGAGCTCTCTCCAGCCCCTTTTTTAGTCTCGAGACCCCATGAATGCTTAATACCTCACAATCATTGAGCAGCATCAAGTAATCAGGGGACTAGTGTTAGTGGAATGTAGCTTTTTTTTTTTTTTTTTTTTTTTTTTAGGTTTTTGTTTTTTTTTTTTTTTTTTTTTTTTTTGATAGAGCTCTTCTGGGAAACTTTCATATTTTAAAAGAGGCTTCCTGGTGAGTGCCCTGAAGAGCTCATGATTGAAATCTGTGATTACACTAGTACGATTCCCCCACCCCTTCTGAGTTTCTGCTTTGGAATGTGAGCTTTGCCTTTCCCTGTGGGGAATGGTACATCAGCTGCTACTGCCCGTGTTTCTTGAGTCTTCCCGTGGGAGTGGAGGTTTCCTTTGGGGACTGCCAAGGGAAATGGGACTAAGAGGATAGTCTAGTCCATAGTGGTTACTCCAGTAGATGCCCCTGACCTTGAGCCTCCAGGGAGGGCAGAGAATGGTGTCTGGGAACTGTGGGAAGATCTTTGTCTTCAATAATGGCAGTCTTTTGTTTACATGGGGATATGCTCTGGGAAACTTTGTTAAGTGATTTTTGTCATTGTGTGGACATTACAGAGTGCTTAAACAAGCCCAGATGGCAGTGTGGACCTCACAGAGTGCTTATACAAGCCCACTTGATGTTGGCCCTTCTTTCTAAAATATATTCTTTAGGCCAGCAAGATGGTTTAGTGGGTAAAGTGCCAAGCCTGAGAATCCGAGTTGGATTCCCAGAACCTACATGTTGGAAAGAGAACTGACTTCTTCAACATGTCTTTTGACTTGCCCATGCTCACATGATACACAAGCGCGTGTGCGCGCGCACACACTATATATATATATATACATAAGTGTACATATTTGGAGTACAATGATATTTCAACACCTACTTTTTAGAATATATTTTTTAATTATAATTTTTTGGGATGTATTTATTTTTATTTTATGTGTATGAGTGTTTTGCCTGCAATGCCTGTGGAGGCCAGAAGAAGGCATAGGATCCCTTGGAACTGGGCAGGTGTTAGCCACTGTGTGGGTGCTGGGAACTGAACCTGGGTCCTCTGCAAGAGCAGTCAGTGCTCTTAACTGCTGAGCCGTCTCTCCAGCTCCATGACAGGCATCTTTTTTTTTTTTTTTAGCTCTATTATAATTCTGCTGGATCACCATCAGGTGTGTTGTCAGTTATTGAACAGTATGATGTGGTATCTGATTCTACTCTTGTATCTTATGTGTCTAAAACAGTATATATTAGTTACTCAATAAATATTTGCCAAACAAGTATATTCCTAATTAAACAAAATAAGTGGCCAATATTATTATATCACATACTTTGTGTAAAAAACAAACAAGTGTGGTATTAACACATCGAAAAGTACTGTTAATAGACAAAGTTGGGCATTCTTGGTGAGTTGAAAGTAGTTGGAATTTTATAGTCGTCTTTTTTTGCTACAGTCCCTGTAGGAATTGCTTAGTTACTTTTC